CGGTAACGTAGCGCTCCCCGCCACTCCCCTCCGCGGTGACGTCACGCGGTGACGTAACGCGCAACGCTAACGTAACCGTAATCAACGTCCTACTGTGACGTGGCACTCATTACGCCACAGGCAAGCACTGCAGCTATATAAGTGGATGCACAGTGCGTATCGATCAGTTCGAGTTCCAGTGTGGCTACCGCCGAAGACATTCCGAGTTATAAAGTAACAGCCAGCCGACTACAAGTTGGAGTATAGCAGCCGTCACGGAAAGAAGAACCGGACGTGTGTGCGATTGTGTAATTGGGAGCGTGTGATACAGTGATACCTAGCTCCCCTACTGTCAACGTGTATACTACTGAAGACAGAGTGAACTGATTTGCGCATAGGGTTAGAAATCGTGAAACCCCGCAACAGTGTTAACAGATTAATGCGATTAGGGTTATAAAGTGTGAAACCCCGCAACTGTGATAAGTAATTGTAGCCGTTAGTTGTAGATTGTTAAATAAACCAATTAACCATCTCTACGGCGTCTTCAGTAACGCAAAACACGTTACAGTACATATCATACAACATTTTAAGCTGGCAGCAGAGCATGACAGAGGTCACTCACACTGCAGCCCTTTCCAAATTCTGTGCAAAGGAATTTGTTCAGTTACAAATATTTGTAGTAGGAATTCTTCGCTTCTTATGACATATTGTTGATCAATAAAACTCCGTCTGTCTTCAGTTTCTCGCCCTTGACCATACAGACAAAGATACAGTTGACAAAAGTTCTCAGTGTGAAAAGTTCAGTTCTGTGTTGCACCAGAGTGATTCAGTTTATCGCGATGCCTAAAGCAAAGCCATCTAAATCATGTTCTTCAAAGTAGATTGTGGCTAAATTTGGAGATGATATATTTTCAACTGACAGTAAAATTTTATACTGTAAGCTGTGCAACACAAAATTAGGGGCAGAAAAATGTTTTATGGTACAACAACATATCGGCCACAACAAGCATATACTAGCAGTGAAAATTTTGAACAAAAAGAAATCTGTGCAAATATTACACCAACAGCGTTCACTAGAAGGCAGAAATAAATCATCAGATTTTTTTCACAGATCTGTGTGATGCTCTGGTGTCCACAAATATTCTGTTTTGGGCTCTGAACAATGAAAAACTGAAAAATTTTCTGGAAGTGATTTGTGGTCATTCTCTCCTGGATGAATCCACTACCTTTCCCAGTGCTACAATAAAATCCTGGAAATGATTATGAATAAAGTGCATTGGAAGAAGATTTTCGTTTCTATTGACGAGATCTGCGATACAGAGGCTCGCTACGTGGCAAACGTCATCACTGGAACCTTGGAAATTGATGGACCAGGTGAAGTGTTTCTGCTTATTAGTGAGGTGCTAGAATCAGCTAATCATTCCACAATTTGTAAAATCTTTCACAGGTCGCTGTTTCTGCTGTGGCCAGAGGGTATATGACACAACGTTGTTTTGATTTTTGTGACCGATGCGGCCCCATATATTTTAAAAGCAGGCAAGTCAATAAAGTTGTTTTATACAAAATTTGTGCACGTTACTTGTCTAGCACATGCACTGCAAAGAGTGATGGAGGAAGTGAGATCAAGATTTCCTCAAGTGGATGCTCTCATGTCGTGGATGAAGATTTTTGTCAAGGCTCCAGCTCGTAAAATACAGTTTAAGTCTTTGGCTCCTGGGGTTCCACTGCCCCCGGAACCCACCATAACAAGGTGGAGAACAAGGACTGATGCTACAATTTGCTATTGCGATCATTTTCAGGTAGTGAAAAACATTGTAGACTCAATGAAGACGCAGGATGCAGGGCAATTTAAGCTGCTCAGGAACAGTTTTCTTGCAAGGAAATGGAAGGACAGCTGTCCTTCATAAAGGCAAATTTCAGTTCCTTGATGGAAGGAATCAAATGCAACACTAGAAGATTCGCTCGCTCTCGTGAAACAAATAGTCAGTGATTTGGAGAAACTGTCAGGGGACACTGGTAAAATGGTGTCAAGAAAAATGAAACATGTTCTAGATAAAAACTCAGGTTATGAAACATTATGCAGCATTTCTCAAATTCTGTCAGGAGAGTCCTTCAGCACTTTCAGTACTGAAGAAGAACTTACTGCTAGTGATTTGGTACACTTCAAGTATGCTCCCACTGTGTCTGCAGAAGTGGAAAGGAGTTTCACCAAGTACAAGACAAGTCAGACAATAGGCGATCACTCACCTTCGAGAATCGCCGCATGCTGACTGTCATCTATTGCAACTCTGAATGAGGTGGCACTTAAATACTGGAATATATACCATATATGTACATTGATAAGCGTTCCAAAGCAGTAGAAGAAATCGTATTAAAACATTTAGCTTCAAATTAACTTTTAGATGATTTTTCTGGATTCTTCGGTCATTTTATAGGTCATTTTTCTGGATTTTTTTCGGTCATATTTAAAATATTTTAAGTCATCAAAATCCGGGCACTGAGTATCACAAATCAGAGCTATTGGGTTCAAGTTAATAAATTATGTTCACTGGATCATGCTTAATTATGTGGATGATCAAATAAGAAAACTGAATATTAAAATTACTAGAAAGAAAAATATTTTTCCAACAAGAAAATAATATTCATTCATTAAATGTATCTATCATTTTCTACTGCAATTAAAAGGAAACTGTGATTTTCTTTACTGATTCTATATATTCAACATCCTATCATATGTAGTAACTATACTGAAATGTCCCAAGTGCATTCTAATTCTATTTTTAACATCTTAGCTTACACAGCTCTGTTGCAACTATCATAACATTTCCCATACAGTATGGTTTGATGGACTAATACCAAAAATTAAATCCAAGTTTCACACACATATTTTCAAACAGCACCTCACATATCTCTATAAAGATGTATTACAACACAGTTTTTCTATAATGCTAAATTACAGCAGTTTTTATAAAAAAATATGTTTTTGAGGTTTGGTATGTGCATGAATAAGAATCTACATATAAAAATCCAACCAGATCCTCTCTCATTCCATTAATCCTTAGATTCTGTTTGCAAACGATTTTGAACACTTTAATTTGCTCCTAGTGATGGAAGGAAAAGCAATCAAATTTGACTGGACACACAGTCCATGTTTAAATGATTCAATTCATTCACCTGTGAGAATTTGTTGTGCGTTTTCATCTCTAAATTCAAAATATTTTCCTCTTAAGTTTTTGGTTTATTTCAACTAAAGAACCAGTGTTACAAGACCATGCATTTCTTAAATCTTTGAAGCACAAATTTAACTTAAATAATATTTAAGAATTCAGTTCTTAGATCACAGAAAATACACTATGCTTAAATTACAAAGACCTGCCAATCCATGTAGTTTAGGGAAAAAACTGTTGCTCATTTTCAAATTCGTACAAAACCCATAAATACCCTGTGTAGGCAAAATACAATGTTCCTTAATGTAGGCAGTTAATGTAGTATCCACTGTGCTTCAAAGGGCTGATCTTCAAATACGGCTAATGATAGACAAATATACCCAGAAACATTACCTGGAAAGAAGTCTCTCCTGACTTGTTACGTGCGATGCAGGAAACGATTCCAGCATCAGTGCGGCTCACATTTGTAATCATCAGAGCGTGGTTGCCAGATTCATTGACAAGAATCTTGTGGGTGGCATCATCTGATACCTGACGACCATTGATAAACCAATGAACTTCAGGATATGGACGTCCAGTCACACGACAATCAAAACGAGTCATCTTGCCTTCTGAAGCCTCACGGTCAGCACACACACGCACGAAGTTTGGTGCCAGAGTTTTGCCATCTGAAGAATCTACTACAGTCGTGCTTTCAACTTGAGATGATTTCAGAGTAGATACCCTGTAACATAAGGATGTGCCAGCTCTTGAAATGATCAAATCATTAATCACTGGATGAAGAATTTTGTTAACCTTTAAACGCCACACTTTTGAAATGGTGGTAAGCTTGAGCTAGCTGGAGTTTATTTAAATGCTCACTGCTGGTGCGTGTTTAAATGTTCGTTGCTACTCTGTGTTTAAATGTCCATTCTTGTTAGGCTGCTTAAACAATTTTAAACATTGTGTTTAAAAATACTGTATCTAACACAATTTTTATGATAAATGGATGGAATTAACTTTGTTTGTATCAGCAAAGAACATAGTGTCGCATTTTACAAAATAAGATTTGCAAAATTTTATACAAAGAGTTATATTTTATTTTCAATTTTTTTCTTTTAATTCCGATGCGTACTGTAAAAATGATTTACCAGTTCTTCACAGAGTTGTTCTGCATTATAAAATCAGTCTTACTTGTAACATTTGACATATTTTAGCAGTCCATAGTGTCATAAAACAGATGGAAACGATAAGATCATTTGGTCTTCTGCTGGCAAGTTTCACAGGTTTGTTAAACTCTTCAGATTTTTTAATGTTTTGACTAAAGGACAGATGAATGAAATTATCAAGCAGATAACAACAAAAATGGTATGTACATCGAATTTTACTATATATTTTTAACACATTAATCTGCAGAATTTGCAGTAAAAGTACTGGCTTGTGGATGAGTTTGTTTATAACTCATACGTATACTCTTTTTTGTTGTTGTTCACTTAGGTATCATTTTAATTCCTCTATTAGGGTTTTACTGAAGTCTGTCTGGTAATTACTACATTTAAAAATAAATATTTAGGACTGTGCATGTGCTTCTACTAGTGGCGTGTGCCCGTGCTTCCGCTAGCGGAGTTTAAATGCCCGACTGGCCAAACTGTCGTACTTTGGCCATGATGACCATACTCATCACTGGCCCAATCAGGGCACTTGGGATGTTAAAGGTTAATAATTTGAATATCACATCAGGAATTTACTTTACTATTCTACAAGGAAATCAATACTTAGAAGTCTTCGTGTTGAATTGGTAAATACAAAATTAATACTTTTTCTCATTACACTTCTTTTTCTGCACAATTGTTGTCTTAACTCTTAAAGCAGGTAGCCATATGAATAGAAAGATGATGCCAAATTAACCCTTTACTACAGCAAATACTGAAGTGTGAGACAGGATTTGGGAATAATGGACTTGAGATGATACGACAATACAGAAATCCAATACATGTTAGTTATTATAATTCCTAAATTGACAGGTTAAAGATAATAATTCAAATCTTGTTAACTCACTCAACTATTTACAGCAATTCTCTCACCAGACCTAGAGTTCAATAGGTATGTGAGATATGAGTTTCTCACATGGGAGACTATGAAGAGTTTTATCTTCTGGATGTGATTCTATGTAGTCTAGTAGAAATTCACTGATGTTTCAGACAGACATAAGTAAGTAGTACTGACATTTTAGAAAGACATAAACAAACGTCCACCCCACTACATGATGTCACATCCCAGAAGGTAAGTACCCTTTATAATAAAAACAGTTCCAATTAACTTACAATGTTCATTTTTCTGGATGCCATTAAATTCAATATATTGTGACATGTTGACCCCCACCTCCCCAGCGGTACGTGGCGGTAACGTAACGCTCGCGTTCTTACGGTAATAGGCTAGTTCCCGCCCCGCCACTCCCCTCCGCGGTGACGTCACCGAGGGATATCGCGGTCGCTAGGCAACGCGAGCCAACAGCGGCGACGTTACGATAGTAACAGCGGTTACCTCCGCTAGCGTTACATAGCAACACAGCGCCAGGCAAAAAGGGTGCCTATTACGTGGCCGTACTGTCCGATCGAGGCTACATAGGGAGCAGCGAAGGCTATTCACAGTTCAGTTGTACTGAGTTGTACTGTAACAGTCGCCGAGTCGAGTTGTACTGAGTCAGTCAGTGAGTCCTGGAGCTACCGCCGAGTTAGCCAGCAACTAGTCAGTTGTATTGTGGCATTTGGAGTGTACTAATTGTGATACTGCAGATAGCAGTAATTGCCAGATTGTAATTTGGGTGATTGTAAGTGCGAATGTGAAATAAAATTCGCTACATCGAATACATCGAGAATTTATTTGTCGCGATATACGCCCGATACGCGACAATATAATACCAACATAAAAATAACAGCGTAAACATGCAACTAATTTATCATAAATTCAAGGCTGAACTTTAGTTTGCTTTGCTTACCTTTGGCTATCATAGAAGCCATCTTGGACTGCAGATGGTTCAATGGCCAAATATGCTGATGAAACAACACAACCTAAAATTTAAAATAAAAAAAAAATTATACTGATATATGGAACTAGGGCTTAAACAATTAGGGGAAAAAAGAATACAGGCACTGAAAATGATATTTACAAGAATTACAGATTACACAAAATTAGATCATGAACAAGATGAACAAATGTTTGAACAACTAAAAATCACTAATCATCAAATTTACACAAAATTATAGAACTAATTTGAAACAATATGAAAGAAGAGTAGAAAACAAGATAATACCTGAACACACTACTGCAAGCAAGCCTAGAAGTACAAGAAATTCAGAGAAGTGACTGGATGGACTGCACGAGGTTATAAGAAGACACGTGGTAAAATATGTGATACGATGATAAATTTCTTTGAAAAAAGAAACTCTTGCCATGAACATAGTTCAAATCCAATACAGTGTTCCCACTGAAAGAGGAAGAACTGGGGATTTGTTCAAGTTTTCAATTTTTTCCTATAAAATCAAATACTTCAAACTTAAATATGGCACAGCCATGCTACTCACCATCATTCCATAACTTTACCCTAGGAACTACTTCAGTACAGATACCTTAATATAATGGTGGTTTAAAATTTTTTTGGACTGCAGCCATACTCTGCCAGCAGCAACAGGAAGCCCTTACATACAGCTGCCTTCAAAACTCTGTCTCATAGCATATCCTTACTTCTGCCACTGTTAATTCAGTTGTTCAGATCATTTATGGAAGCAACCATGTATATGTAAACTACAGTCTTTAAAGCCACTTGGACCTCCACTGTGATCTGCAAGTGGCAGAATGATGTAAAAATTGCACCATGTAATACTGGGAAGAGCAGGTTGGTTAAGAAGCAGCTCAGTAACATGTTCGGTGAGTTACAGCCCAGGCATGTGCATATGTGCACGTACACAGCAGCCTACATGCTGAGATATTTTTGAAACATTGTCCACTCTTTGCGTGGCTACATTTCAGGATGTTTCAGGTGCATGCCTCTTGTAGATGAATGATGACCGCATCACCCTCAGAAGAAAACTCATGGTGCACTGCACTCTGCCAGCCATAAAGACTCCTCACACCACCTTCATTTCTAAGCTGCCACACTGGGACTTCATGGCTCCATATGGTCAATTGTCATTTACTTTCAGGGCCACAAGAAAACAGAAGATACCGATCACAAACTTCCAGACGACATGCAGATCATTATTTGCTGCACTGAAGATTCCATAACTGATCCTCACCTATCTGTCACTTCATTCTACTTCAGCATTCCTGGTATGTTGTGTGGCAACTACCACTTTGAATTCCAACTTCTTCTGTAATCAGCTCTATGATCTCATGATAATCAGAATGTATATCCCCCCTTGCAGCTGTCTGAGTTGTTAACATTCAGCAGTGTTGTGGATCATTTTACAATGATTCAAGGTAGTCCTTGAGCTTACGATACCACTCAATGGAACATCACTTGTTCGTCATACATTAACTGAAGCAACTGCGATGTTTGTCACCATTTTTAACAATCAGTGGCAAAATCTGTCGTTCATCCCCTGCTCGAGGCAAACCACTTTCTGATTCAAAAACTTTTCACACATTGTGCTCTCCCATAACACTTACCATGAGCCTCAGTCTAACAGCAAATCAAAAATTGCATGTGCATTGTCTTATGTGTACATCCAGCTTACCTGCCACAGTGTATCTGCGTTAAATCCCACAACCTCCTGATGCTACCATGTAATAAGGATGATCAGTGAAAGTTCTCAATCGTATTTAATGTTGGCCAGCATGAAGTATAGAACTTACAATACTCAATAAGAAAAACTGACCTTGTGGGTTCTCTGCTAGTAATGTGTAGTGGCCAGAATCTTCTGCGTGAGCATTCACAATATTGAGAGTGGCCTGTTGATTTGAGAAGCTTGTCCGGTACTTCTGTGACTGCACGATCCGCTGACCATTTTTAAACCATGTTAACTGAAAACGAATTGAAAAATATTCCAAGTCCAAACTTTCAACTAAGAAACAAAAAATTTCATATAAGGGTCTAATTCTGATTTTAACCTCTTACAACAAAGTCATTTTGATTTCAATTTCTTTTAAAATCACACATCTAACTAACTAACTTCATAGGGCTGAGACCTTCCTGAGAAGTTGACACTTATGTAGCTACTCAAGAGCTTCCCAACATTTTATGGAACGCGAAGGTTCATTACCATGTTCAGAAGAGACCTCCACTAGTCTCTATCCTCAGCCAGATCAATCTCATCCATACCGTCATATCCTATCTCTCTAAGATCCGTTTTAATATTAGCCACCCACGCACATCTTGGTCTTTCTAGTGGTCTCTTTCCTTCTGACTTTCCCACCAATATCCCATATGCATTCCTCCTCTCTTCCATTTATGCTACATACCCTGCCCATTTTATCAACGTTAATTTGATCATTTTAATTACACTTGGCAGAGAGTACAAGTAACCCCTCTTAAATTCACTTATTCCTCTATACACGTCTCTTGTGTTCTTGTTCTGACTGTTCATTGCAAGATCAATAATTTTGTCTTTCAGATATTCCTGCTTTTTATTCCTGAAATACGAGCTGGCTTCACGTCTTATATTGTTCAGATTATCCCACTTTATTTTGCTAGGATCCTGCAGTCACTGCAATTGAGCTCATTTCCTTTGATCTAATAATTCTGAGCATCCTTTGTCAAACAATGACTTATGCTTCTTCATTCATAATAACCTAGAGCCTCTTTGGCTAAAATTTTGATATTCTCTGTTTCCCAAGCTCTATTAGTATCTGCCTCAGCATCTAAGATTTCCAAAGCTCCAAACTTATCTGAGATTTGAACCCAATACTGTTCTTTACATTCTACCTCATTTAATTTCTTCAGACTGAACCACTCCATACAAAATCTGTGCCTGGTTTGTTTACCCCAGCCAGTCTCTCCCTAACATAAGCCACCATCAGCTAGCGGTCAGTATCACAAACTGCTGCCCTGAATCCCTCCTATCTATCAAAATATACTCAGTTTGATTGTTTTTCCATTAGGAGATGTTCAAGTAAATATATGAACGTTACTATAAGAGACCTTTGTACTTCTGACAGTCAGATTTTTGGATATGGTGAAGTTCACTACTCTAAATCCATTGTCAATAGTAATTTTGTGTTAACACTAATTCCCAATTGTTGGTTTCAAAATGTCTTCCATATCTACTAAAAATTTTCATTTTCTCTTTATGGAATTTATCAAACACATGCATAGCATGGTGTGTCCTCAAGTTGCAGGTGGAGGAGACAGCTTTCAGATATGGGGGGCAGCTGCTAAAATACTGAATAAGCAGTTGTGGACAGCTGACAAAGGGTGGTCCTACAGTTGGGGGGTTGGGGGCTAACAACTCTTTGTGAAAAAACAATAAACTTTTTATGAAATACCACATATCAGGTATAAAATAAAGTACAAGGGATAATGTACCATTCCAACTGCATAGTAATTCTCTGTTATATAATTTTCATAATTGCTCCTGCAACAAGTTTAACATCAAGAAAAGTACATACTCAATTCCCTTAAAAGCATACTTACCCTTGGTCTAGGATTTGCTGAAACCTTTGCCTGAAATACGGCATCAGAACCTTCTGCTAGTTTGGAATTTCTAGGTTTTTGTGCAATCTGAGGAGGTACAACAGGTCCTAGTGAGCGATCAACAGTTGTCACAATCTGTGCATCAGTCTCACCAGCGTATCGGCGTGTTAGTGATTCACGGAATTCGACCTCTCGCAGCAAGCGGTATTCGAATGTGTCCACCTTGAAGTCCTGAAATGGAATAAAGCAATACTGCTGGGTATTTTATGTGTTTAATGGAAAGAATAAATTACTTCAACCAGCATAAGAACAAAAAAAGTCGTCATCATCATCAAAGCACAGACCTTTAGGCCCATCCCAGCTCAACTGTCTTTCCATCACTACCTAGGTTTTCCTATGCCTCTATGCCTTTTCTCCCTACTGATTTATAGTCCAGGATACACTTCAGCAATCTATAATCTTTCATTATTTCTACACATTGTAACCAATTAGTTTCATTTATTTGTGCTTTATCGGTTAATAAACATACTCCTAATTCTAACCTTCTATCACGATTCAGTACAAATTTTAACTAACTACTAGCTTCATTTGTATACCAATTTGATAAAACTACTATCCAATAATTATTCTCTTGAGTAATTTCTTGAAATCCACAAATATCCGTGATACTGTCCAGTTGTACCCCCACTTTTCTCTAACATCTGACAAGTGCAGAATACAGGAACAGCAGCTGACAGATGCTGCTATATTGAAGCAGTGATTAAAGGGAATTTACATTAATGGGTCTTCTATTATCAGCATTCTATGCAGTTAAGTGGCATTGCAAAGAATTATATATAGATTCAGGGTAACATTAATGAAGGAAACAATGCACACTGGCAGAGCTCTAGACTCATATCAGGCAATATTCAGTTCAAACCTTAGCAAGGTCATACACTAATCTGACTTAGGTTTTTATGGTTCTCCTCAGTCCCCCAGGCAACTGCTCAGAGAGTAACTCAGTTAGACCATGACAACTTCCTTCTACCTTTCCTATTCATCATTCATCTGCCATCTTTCCATTAAATGTTACAAGTACAGATAATGACAGCTACATAAACCAGCATTCCCAACAAAATATAGGGAGCAGGTAAGTAATTTTAGGTAAAAAATGTTCTTGCTCCATCAAATACTTACTTCCTCCACAATATGTCCATTGGTATAGGAAGTCTTCCCTGTAGTTTGCTGGAAAGACTGGAAACTAGACTGTGTTTGTGTTCCTGAAATTCTCTGTTCTGAAGTTTCGTAGATTTGCTCATATTCCTTCTGGTAGCCTCCTTGTTGCACCAACTGTCCTGCCCCTGTAGAGCAAACATAAAATTTGTATTGTAAACTGAAACTATGAACAAAAAAACAGATAACTGTAACATCTGTATTATAAACTGCAATTATACACAAAAAACATACAACTGTTCACAATATCCTTATCGCCTGTATTTGTAACTGCATTTGACATTTTCTGCCTGCAATATCAAATGTATTTCAGAGGCTGTGATTACATCAGTTTATCATAAACTGAACTCTCAACAACAAACCTCAGAAAGTTTAATTTTACCTGATGTGCCTACTTGCAGGGTGTTACAAAAATGCATGTCCATTTGCAGCCATAGGAAAAGTAGGATTTTTACGTGATCAGTATGGCTAAAACTCAAAATGGCCGGCTAATGTTAAGCAAAAATCTCTCATATCAAGCTCCACTAAAATTTGATTAACAGTTTATGATATAAATGAAAATTGGAAATTTTTTATAAATATCTGTGGAAGTATCTCACACAAACTTTCAACAAAATATATATGGAATGGTTTATGCCAGGTATGTCCAACATGCCGATCACGATCGACCAGTCAATCGCAGGACGATTTTTGGTCCATCTCATAGGCCTATAAGGAAAGTATACATGAAAAGCATGTAAATTCATTTGTAATATAATATGATTATATTCAGATTTTGAAGAGAAAATACGTGTTAAAGTAGTCTGTACTTTCAATGTATGTTGCTTTTACAACAAACATCATGTGTCATGTTATTTTTACCAATATTTTTGCTTAAAGCGAAGTACGACGATAGGAGGGGGTGGTAGATCACTGGAAGTTTTGACACTAAAAAGTCGATCACCACCCGTCTGAAGTTGGACATGCCTGGTTTATGCAATACACGCATTTATGGCCATATGTAAATCGTCCTTTTATAAGTCAACGTAACTAAAAATCAAAATGGTCCATTAACATTATACAAAGATGTCTCACATTCAACTGAATTATGGCTTTCAGCAAGGTGGGCTTTATTATGTGTCATTATGGCTGAAAATCAAAACTGTCTGACAATTTTTAGTGATAGTTTCCCCCGCAAAATTTTAAAAAATTCTGTCAATAGCTTAAATACTAGCATCGGGTCACAGCCACATAGAACAACACTTCCACATAAGGCACTATCTGTTCCTTGTAAACAACGCCTAAAAAAGAATATCTTCCCTGATATTCCATTATTGGCATGTTTTACTTTGCATACAAATCTTAATCATTGAAATTTGTTATCACTGCCTACCTTCGGGCTGAATATATACAGAACAGATGGCTTCACCATACTGGTTTCTGGCAGTGCACGTGTACTCTCCTTCATCTCCTGGCCCTATGTGATTGATGAGTAAAGACACATTTCCAGTCCCCTCCTCATACTTCATCTTGTATTTGTTAGATTCTAAACAGATAAAATTAATTTTATCAGCAGACATATAAATGATGGTTCTTAATCATAAAACTTACATGCCACAAATTTTCAAATGTAATCTTTATGAATATATGCAGAATATTCATAAAGTTAGGAGACAGCAGCAATGGTAGCTCAATAAACTCATCCAGTATGCGCCATAGCTCAAGTGGTTAGTCGCTGGCTTCCCACTGCGATGACTCGGGTTCGATTCCGGGTCTGGTCAAGTGGGATTTGTGGTGGACAAAGTGGAGCTGGGACAGGTTTTCTCCGAGTACTCCAGTTTCCCTGCCAATCTTTATTCCACCAATTGCTCCACACTCACCCTCACCTATCATCTGGGGCTGGTACAATAGGCCAGAATCTGGCCGCAGTACAAGGGACTTAGTCCCACCTCATTATCCTTAAAAAAACTCATCCAGTATTTACATTATACACATGTGCACGTACTGCACGTGAACACGCACAAGCGCACGTGTTCCCACACACACACACACAAAAAACACTGTATATTAAATTAAATAATGGAAAACATACAATTCTCACTACATTCTACAGAAGCCGAATAATATGTCAGGATCCAGAACATTACTCCCATAATACATTTTGTGAGGTAGTACGTAAACCTATGTAAGATTTGAGGTTTTCAAAGGGAGTGAAGATTCATATCATGTTCTCCAGGGTAAAAAAATCTTGTAGTATGGTTGGTGCTTACCGGTGTTTCAGAGGAACATTCTGCCTCCATCTCCATGAAGATAGAAGCAGAATGTTTTTCCAAAGCAGTAATAGCCGCCTACCAGACTAAAGAGTGCCATAATTTAGCAGATCACTTTACAAAGGACGTACGCCTGTATTTACACTGTCACAACCCATATGGTAAACCACTTCAAATGCTCCCATTTGTATTAACATTCTGCCACATCTAATCATTTTTAATAATATTTAGTAATAGTTTAACTTCAAAATTTCTAGGTAAATTTTCCAACTATGCATAAGTGTCAGCTAGCCTTGCCATTTTTATCTGTGTATATAACTCCACATGCTTAAAATTCACTTAGTGGAGGTGGAGTCCAACTAGGTCCACTTGGCACAGCGGCCACTGATTGGCCTATTGTAGCCTGTCCCGGGTGATTGTGATGATGGAGAATTTGGTGGAATGAAGATCGACAGGGTAAACTAAAGTACTTGGAGAAAATCCGCCCTAGCACCAATTTGTCCACCACAAATCCCACTTGACCAGACACAGGATCGAACTCGGGCCGCCGCAGTGGGAAGCCAGTAACTAACTGCTTGAACTATGGTGCAGCCTTACTCAACATGCTTATGTTTTCATTAAATTCATTACTGAGTATGTCACTAAAATGTATGAATAATACGTAATTTTGTCCAAACTGGACAACAAGGATTTAACTTCATATGATCCAAATACATACTCAGATATACTGTGATAAAGGCTAAGTAGACTGGAAAATCTCTCCAATGAAATGCCTTTAACAAAGCAAATATATTTATGGTGCACACAATTTCTTCATTTGCACATTTCTTTATATGAAATAGTTTGACAGGTATCAAGAAATATATGAATATGAGACATTCGTGAAGGTAATGCATATATCCTATGCAAATCTTGTGATTTTCACTTCAGATTAAAAGGCATACATGAAAACTGGTTCAAGTACGTAGGTAAGTCAATATGTAAGTTACAAATGGATACAGAACTTAAACAAATAAGAGTACTGATTTGAAGAATGCTTTTATTTCTCAACATAATCTCCTTGTACATTGAGGCACTTGTCCCATCGTTTCAGAAGCCCCTGAAAACCAGCTGCATAAAATTCTTTGGGCTGCTGTCAGAACCAGGCTGTGACTGGGATCACGAAGGCATACTGCTCACCACATTCCAGCCTCAAGGACAAACCGTAAATGCCGACTCCTACTGTAACATCGTCAGGAAAATTCGTAAGGCCATTCAACGGAAGCGACCAGGACTCCTCACCAAAGGCGTGTTGCTCTTGCAAGACAACATGCGTCCCCATACTGCCAACAAGACAAATGAGACGCTGCGAAATTTTAAGTGGGAAGTCCTCGAGCATTCTCCGTACAGCCCCGACCTTGCTCCAGGCGACTTCCATTTGTTTGGCCCTTTTAAACATCATCTTTCAGCTGAACATTTTCCCGACGATTAAGCTGTAAAAAGGAAAGTCACCACATGGTTCCGACAGCAGCCAAAAGCATTTTATGCTGCTGGATTTCAGGGGCTTGTGAAACGATGGGACAAGTGCCTCAATGTACAGGGAGATTATGTTGAGAAATAGAAGCATTTTTCAAATCAGTACTCTTATTTGTTTAAGTTCTATAACCATTTGTAACCTACTTATTGACTTACCTTCGTATACATATCATTCACAACTAAAAACAACCACCAAATTGATCTTGACATCAGTTATGCCAACAAATTAATCTGTAAAGTACTTGATACAAAATTCCTTGGAATACATGTAGACAGTACACTGTCTTGGAAAATACATATTGAACAAATTATACCTAAATTAAATGCAGCTTGCTATGCGATGAGATCAATTAAGCCTTTTATGTCACAGGAAACACTGAAGATGGTTTACCATGCCTACTTTCATTCTATTATGAACTATGGATTAATATTTTGGGGGAACTCTTCACATAGTGTAATAATTTTTAAAATACAAAAGAATATAATTAGAATCATTACAGGATGTAGAAGTAGAGATTCATGTAGAGAATTATTTAAGAAATTAAAAATTCTACCTCTTCAATCGCAATACATATTATCGCTTCTCTTATTTGTTGTTTACAACAAAGATAAATTCAAATTAAATTCTGATGTCTATAACATGAATACTAGTCAAAAATATAACTTCCACCTACCCTCATCAACTTTATCAGTATATCAAAAAGGAGTCTACTTTACTGGCATAAAAGTGTTCAACAATCTGCCACAAAGTATTAAAAACTTGGGCAATGATACTAAAAAGTTTAAATCAGAGTTAAAGAATTATCTGCATGCTCATTCCTTCTACTCTTTAGATGAATACTTCAATGTAAATAGAGAATGATGTAAAATTAAGTTATATTAATTTTTAAGCTAAAATTGCCTGTACTTATGTACGTAACCTTTTGACTTGTTCTGTATCCAAAGGTACTAACCTGCTTAGGATTTATAGAATGTAAATAAATTCAATTCAATTCAATTCAATAAACCTTCGCGTTCATTAGATAAGGAAAGTAACTGAAGGAAGATTTCAAGACAGAAATATGTGAGCACAATTTATTACATATAATACAGGATTGAATTTCAAAGTACTAAAGGTGTACATTTTTGTCTTCTACAACAATTAAAAATTACACAATTACTTAAAAGTAAATTACTCAATATCATAAAATTTCCTTATCTCACCTATCAAGGGAGCTCCTTTTCTGGTCCATGAAACAACTGGTTTAGGCTTCCCCCGGACTCTGCCCTCAAAGAGAGCATTGCCGCCCTGGGCAAAGCGAGCATTTCGGAAAATTTGTTCGAAGATTGGGGGTGAGACATCACCTGGTCTTCCACCAAGCCTACAATTGAAACCAGCCATTCATAACTACATATATGTGACTGCATTGTCAATTGGAAAATATATATTATCACTGATGCCTCATCAAAACTTCAGTTTCAGGAAGGACAATACTGAATCTTAGCCTGATAAGAATGTTAGAATATGTAGTCTTACTTCCTCTAAGCCACTAGTTTCACATTGCATGTCCATGCAACTCTTTTGACCTTGAAAGATGAATATAGACCTAAAAAAAGTAACTTCAGATACACAAAATGGAAAGGCAAAGAAAATTCCAATTATAGGGGTTCCCCTCCCCAAACAGGCTATTTGGTAAACCTGAGAGAAATGCAAAGTCAATGAGTGTCTGCGTTAATCATCCACAAGAGCTTTCGAACCAAGTGACAGATATTATATTTCAGCATCCTGTTGCATTGTGGTATTATTCAATTATATGTACACTATCAATAATGCAACAATGTATTTAAAATAAATAAAATAAAAGACACCTGAAACGTGTTCTTCACTAAAAGTGTAGTTTTTATACTTTAAAATGTTATTAAGACACTACATGTATAGTGACTATTAAACACTTTAGAATGTCTTTAATTTATATTGTATTTTCTTCCAGTTTGCAACATGGGCCATCATCAGGCAAACTTTTGATTTGTGAGGAGACCACTGTACTGTTCGCATGTCTTCCACGTTCCCTGGCATATCATTGTTTTTTTGTTGTTGTGTCACATATTAAAACTCCCTCATTGTATTTTTTTTTTTTTTGTGGCTACCACAGTTTGTATGTTGTTTTCTTTTGTACGAAGGGCGTTCCATATATAATGCCTCCTTTTTTTTTGTGTTAATATGTAACATCTGAGCTGGATGTTGTTGGTGCTGTAGTAAAGAGTGAATCTTCCCGCCAATGTACTGTTAGTTTGGTTGTCGTGCGACAGTTAGCGACAGCAGAGCAGTCTACCAAAATGGTGTCTGACATAGAAGAGAGTATGAAACAGAGATGTGTTATTGAATGTCTCACTGCCGAACAAATTGCACCCACTGACATCAATCAACGCTTTCTAAAGGTATGTGGAGACGATACAGTGGATGTCAGCACAGTGAGGCAGGTAGTGCATTTCAACAGTGGCGAAAGTGAAGTGCACGACAAGCCACGCACTGGGCGTCCCTGCTCAACTGCCACTCCTCACAATTAACAGCACCTCGATCAGCTCATCCGTCCAGATCGGCGAATAACGACCAGGGAACTGTGTGCATGGCTTAGTATTGGCTGTAATACATTGGAAATGATGTTGGGGAAGCTGGATTATTGCAAAGTTTGTTCCAGGTGGGTCTCACGGATGCTTACACAGGACCACAAAATTCATTGAATGGAAGTCTGTCAGGACCTGTTGCACCAGTTTGAGGCCGAAGTTGACAAGTTTCTGGACAGTATCATCGTGTGTCACCAATACGAGCCGGAATCCAAAAGACAGTCCATGGAGTGGCGACATCCAGATTCCCCAAGAAAAAAGAAGTTCAAGACACAGCCATCAGCAGGGAAAGTGATGTGCATGGTCTTTTGGGATAGGTGGGGTGTGATTTTCTTGGATTTCCTGGAGCCTGGTAAGACTGTCAATTCTGAACGCTACAAGATGACGCTGACTAAGCTGAAAACCCGCATTTTCCGAGTCGGGCCAGAGAAGCAGACAACCTTTCGCTTGCAACACGATAACACTAGACCCCATACCATTTTGGCGACCACCGCGCACATGGCAAAGTTTGGCTGGACTGTCCTACCACATCTACCTTATAGCCCCGATTTAGCACCTTCAGACTTCCATCTCTTTGGGCCTATGAAAGATGGACTATGTGGGCAACATTTTCCAGACAACGATGCTGTGTCATTGCAGCTGTAAGAAAGTGGCTAGCCTCTGCTTGTGCAGACTTTTATGGGCGCGGCATACAGGCTCTTGTTCATTGCTGGCAAAGTGCATAACGAATGGCGGTGATTATGTGGAAAAATAACTGTAAGTAGCTGAAATCCTGCTCTATTTAACTGCATTATTATGCTTTCTGTATCTGTTGTAGTTTTCATTAAAAAAATTAGGAGGCATTATATACGGAACTCTCCTTGTATGTGTGTCTTTAGTACCTCTTCCTGTATACATATGAGAGAAAACAACATACAAAACTGTGATAGCAGCAAAAAGAATACAATGACAGAGTTCTAGATATGTGACACAACGACAACAACAACAACACAACGACGTGCCGGAGAGCATGGAAGACAAGAGAACAGTACAGTGGTCTCTTCACCAATCAAAAGTTTGCCTGATGATGGCCCTCGTGCGGCTGAAACATGCTGCAAATTAGAAGAACATATGATATAAATTAAAGACATTCTAAAGTGTTTAATAGTCACTTTTAGTGTAAACGATGTACATGTAGTGTGTTAATGACATTTTATAACACTTAATAACATTTTAAAGTATAAAAACTACACTTTTAGTGAAGACCATATTGCAGGTGTCTTTTATTTTATTTATTTCAAATATCATTGTTGCATTATTGACGGTGTACACATAACTGAACAAGCGACAGATGTTCATGAAACATGGCATGAAGTAGAGACCACCACAGCTTTATATTTTCTTTGTTCATAACACCAATAAAGAGGGTGTGCGAATTTCTCTGGTGACAGCAAAAATAGCATCACTTTGTACAGAATGCTGAAATTTTGTACAGTAACAGATATTACTATTTAATTTTCTTTTTGATGCTGATAACTAATAAAGTACTGAAGATTGGACATGTGAAACTGTATATGGAGACAGATCATTAGCATACATGTTACTCTGTATAAAATATTACATATAAACGTAATAACTTGCTTATCATGGATATTGATGTTCTTTATAAATGTTAATGTTTAACATCTTAATATTTTATACAGAATCAACTCAGAAGATCTGCAATGCAGCCAGCGAAAATTTTTAAATTAACACGTGACAAATTTAATAAAATCAGGATCTGGGCTAGTAAAAACTATGTTATAATTCCTTTCTAGTACATTTATTTTACTTCCCTTCCAACTAAATTTTCATCATTAGTATATTTTTTTGCAACTAGGTATATTATGGGTAACCAGTTAATCTCCAGAGTAATTAGGCCATTACTTGACTGCTCTAAAATGGATAATCAATTAGTGCTTTTATGAACTTTACCATAAGTTTAGTTTAAACACATTTTAATTAGCCTAACTATTGTTTGTATAACAAATTCTAAGAGAACCGATTATAAATGTTCATAATTTTATCGTCTTCTTAGAAAACAGTAACTACCATTCTTCTCTCAAGCTTAACTCTCTACACACAAACAAAATTACTGAGCGCTGCCAACATCAATTGTGATGTAACACATAAATTACCAACTACTGATCAAGTATTTTACATTTGTAAGATACTGGGGAAATACAGTACACCAGCTAATTTGCAGGATTCAAGAAGATCTATGACTCCATTACAAGAAAATTATTATCATTCAGTTTGGAATACCCATGACATTAGTTAAAATGTACTTAAATAAAATCTACAGCAAAAACCTAGCTCTGGCTCAGTTTCTATTCAGAATGTTTAAAACATGGAGGAACTATTTCCACATCCTAGGTTTTTGCCTGTATGGATATATGGAAAATATAGGAAATGAATGAATGAATGAACAATTTATCACCATTTCTTTCTAAACTTGTGTTAGAATACACAACTGGAAACTGCAACAAAACCATGGGTGTCTGGAATTGAATGGAGAACTTCAGCTTCTATGCTCTGGTCATTCATACTGTTAATTTATTTGGCAAAAACATAAATACCAAACGGTAACACAAAAACTCCTATGAAAGAGATTCACCTAGACAAAAACCTGTTAGGTCTTGTCGCCAGAATATAGCAGAATCATAATGTACAAATGGCTAATAAATCCACTGAAAATGCAACAAAGTTCACTCATCTGGCAATGACAATAATAAATTCTATCATTCACACAAAAAGAAATTAAGCTCACATTAAATTCTGAGGAATGCTTGCTACCTTCTCATTCAGAATCATTTGTCTTTGCACCTCCTACTTTCAAGTATACAGAGAAATATAAAAACCTACAGTATGGGCGTCAATCTCAATTTCTCATCCTAACAGAATAATATGAATAGACTGAGGGTGTTTGAGAACATGGTGCTGACAGGAAATTACATAATGATGTGCTTCAAAGACAGGACTCTCCATTATACATTAGGAGGATGATCAAACCATGGACAACAATCGGCATGGCATGCATCATAAATCAGAGAGATGAAAGTTACATACAAGATTTTAAATACAAAAACAAATGGAAGAGACCATTTTGGAAACCTCTGTACTCAGGGAGGGATAGTACTGTATTAAAGTTAATCTCAAGGAAATAAAGAGTATGAGGATATAGAATGAATTCACCTGGCTCAGGAAAGAGTCCAGTAAGAGGCTCTTGTAAACATGGTAATGAATCTGTGGGTTCCCTTAAAAGTAGAAATTTCTTCACTAGCTTAGTTAGTTAGTTATTGGAGAGGGTGGGTTTCCCCATGCACTTAGACCTGTCTTGGTCCATTGTGCTTCCCTCTATGATATTCTACCAGTCTCTATATCCTACCGGTACTGGTGCTTACCATCAGTCCCGCCCAGCCAGCGAGACCGGCTCTACTAGCTGAGAGGTATCTATAATGCTTCCCCCATCTACCAGAGGTATTAGAGACTGCTGTTGGGTGGGAAACGTCCGTAATTTGGCTCAGTGATCTCCTTTGGAGATATGAGGTTATTTTACGTGCCGTAAAGCTACAACACGGGACCCACGGCTTAAAGTCCCTCCCGGAGGACTCGTTCCCTGAGTTTTTCCGCCCTTAAAAATTTGACGACCTCCGCCGGGTATTTGAACCCGCGTACTATAAGTCATGAGGTGGGAACGTTACCTCTAGACTATGGAGGCCGCTTTCACTAGCTTAGTAATCGTTAGTTTCTCAAGAAGAGGTCTGTGCCACGGAATGAAGCAGTTACAACAGCCATGACAGAAATAGTACTTTTGTATAGAATAATGAACTGAATGATTTAATCAGTATTTTTAGTTTCTAAGAATAAATTCGACTTTTCTCAAAAATTACTTTTATCCTTTTTATACGTAGTTTATTTTTGGTGTAAAATGGCTCAGCATAACACAAGTGAAAAACCAGATTAAAATTTTGCAGTCAGTGTCACTGCAGTATCGTTTCTTATGTACTTTCATAATGGACAAGACAATCAGTGATCATCGTGAGAAATATTTGTATGCCTTAAAATTAGCCTTATAAATGCTTACGTGATTTGTGAAGGAGACTGCTGAACAACCACTTCTTGCACTGCAAAGAATGAGAAAAACCTTTAAGACTTCAGCAACACATCATTCTATGTAATGCAGGTGATAAATATCAAACTAAACTTTTAAGTTAGTTCAGCAAACATAATATGATATTTACAGATATTCACAGTTTATTTATCTATCTATATGTTTTTAGCAATACTCTATCAGCTGTAGGGTTATGTAACCTTATACAATTTCTTTATTAAAACCATCACAACACAACTATATTAAGGTCAGTGCCTAGTTTGGCTCTGGAACATGTTTCGGCTACCAAAAGCCATCATCAGGAAAATACATGGCCAACATATATACACCACTGAACTGCAGTACTAGTAAAATTGGATACAATAATATTAATTATATTAAAATACTTGGCATAAAAGTACAACAAATTAGACTATATAAAACGAAAGTTATAGTATAAAACAAGATTAAAATTCATCAAGTGATGCTTTACATCATCATCAGGTCAGTCATTGTTTAAATTCCCTACAGAACGGACAATACTTTGTAAGATCAATCACTGACTAAATAATTAACATTAATATTACTACAGCTACATCACGAGCCTCCAAAACAGTTTATTATATATACACAAAAATATAAATACTCCAATTTGTCCATGGGAACACAACAAAATCGCAAAAACCAATGACTGACTCGATGATGTGAAGCATCACTTGAAGAATTTTAACCTTGTTTTATACTATAACTTTCGTTTTACATAGTCTAATTTATTGTAATTTTATGCCAAGTATTTTACTATAATTAATATTATTGTATCCAATTTTACTAGTACTGCAGTTCAGTGGTGTATATATGTTAGCCATGTACTTGCCTGATGATGGCTTTTGGTAGCCGAAACATGTAGCAGAGCCAAACTAGGCACTGACCTTAATATAGTTGTGTTGTGCAGGTTTTAATAAAGAAACTGTATATTATAACACAACAGGATGCATGAAATGAAAATTATGTAACCTTAAATGAGTTGAGAGAATGATAAGGAAGAATAATTTTGTTATTTTGTAACATTATACTTCATTACTACAGAATGCACTAACATTATTTTATAGTAAGTTCACTTAACAAGGTGGAAAGTGGAGACATGCAAACTCAGTACTAAGATAATATTGTATACCAAAGAGGAAGGTATTTCATCCTTAATATATACGATTCTTCTGTAAAATAAATGTATATACACAAAAAATGTAATTAAAATATGTTTAAGAGTGACGATTAGAAATTTTTGATGGTAAATGATAATTTGATGCTTCTCTCTGCTAAATGGCATAAACAAAGCAAACCAGCAAAGGTCTCTGATATAAAATGTTATCAAAGCCAGTCCACCCACTTCTCAAGTTAATGTGATGATAGCACTTAGCATAACAACCTCCTTCTTTTAATTATCTTGATAACCATATGACTTACACAAAAGGGTATTTCCATTTCTCTCTATAATTTTTCCTCCAATAAGCACAAATCTTCAGATGCATACAAAAATGCATGTAGGTTTTCATGTTCATGAAAATTCATTCCGCAGTGTTTAAGTCACATGAGGACAGATAAACTATGACAAGTACTGCCTTCTATGATGTGAAACCATGTAGTCTGGTTGGAGTTTTCTGAAGTCTTGGAGGACCATACTTGTTTTATCTTCTGGGCTGAAGATTTAAGTCATGCAAGCAAAGTAAAGCTCACTTGCTTAACTTACTCTTTGAGCTTGAAGATGGAAGCAGAACATTCATTTGAAACAATGGTAGGCTTCTAACAGACTACACAATGTCATATTCAAATAGATAACACTCTTAATATTCACAGTGGGTAAACCTTAAAAACCACACCATGAAATTATCAGACACATTTTTGCAATTTTTGTTGTGAATGCACCAAAAATGACCAGCATGTCAGGTACAGCTACTACACAGAGGCTCTGCAACAGTTGGTCATGAAATTCCCCCACCTTTTGTAGAAAATTAGTTATTTATTTTGTTCCTATGAGCCTATCATTATATTGTGCCCACTGAATTAGGCCCATATCCTCACATATTATTATTATTATTATTGGAGGGGGTGGGTTTCCCCGTGCACCGCGACCAGTTGTTGATCTATTGTACGTCCCCCTTTGATATTCTACCAGTCTCCATACCCTACCGGTACTGGTGCATGATATCAGCCCCGTTGAGTCAACGAGGTCGGCCCTCAGTACCTTGATACTTCCCCCATCTACCAGAGGCATTGGAATCTACTTGGGCGGGAAACTGCTGCCTAATTTAGCTCAGAGGTCTCCTAGAGACATGAGGTTCTTTTACGTGCCGTAAATCTATGACACAGGACACATGGCTTAAAGTACCTCCCGGAGGACTTGTTCCCTGAATTTTTCCGCCCTTAAAAATTCCATGACCTCCGCCGGGTTTGAGTCATGAGGTGGGAACGTTACCCCTAGACTACGGAGGCCGCTTCCCCACATCTTACTTATTTAACATCAATTTTCATATCACCCTCTCGTTTCCTCCTAAGAGTCTGTTCCCAAAAATTGCTAACCAATATTCTGCATGCGTTTACCAACTTTTCCAAGCATTGCCCATCTTTCCCTAGCTCATTTAATAACTCTCACAATATATGTTGCAGGGAAAAAACTACTGAGCTCCCCACTGTGTCATTTTCATCAGTCTCGTGTTACTTCATTTCCCTTCACCCACACGCTCATGGAGCTGAGCCCTTCTTGAGGAGAAGCCAAATCTGCAGCTACTCAAGAATTTCCCAGCATTTTATGGAACCTGAAGGTTCATTGCCATGTTCACAAGAGCCCTCCACTGGTCTCTATCCTGAGCCAGATCAATTCAATCCATTCCATCCCATCCTATCTATCTAAGATCCATTTTAACATTGTCCACCCACCTACGCCTTGGTCTTCCCAGTGGTTTCTTTCCTTCTGGCTCTCCCATCAATATCCTATATGCAGACCTCTTCTCCCCCATTCATGCTACACACCCTGTCCACCTCATCCTCCTTGACTTGATCATTCTAATTATACTTGGAGAACAGTACAAGTTATGAAGCCCCTCATTATGCAGTTTTCTCCAACCTCCTGTCACTTCATCTCTCTTCAGTACAAATATTCTCCTCAACACCCTGTTCTCGAACACCCTCAGTCTATGTTCCTCCCTTAATGTCAGAGACCAAGTTTCACACCCATACAGAACTACAGGAAAAATTATAGTTTTGTATATTATCTAATTTTTATGTTTTTGGACAGCAGATGAGTAGGCAAAAGGTCCTGGGCTGAATGGTAGCAAGCATTACCAGGGTTCAATCTCCTCTTAATTTCCTCCTGAATCAGGTTTTGATTTGTTATCGTCATTCTCAAATATATGTTACCTATCTTTATGTCATGATTTTGCCCTGCATTTTGGTGATGACAGCCACATATGCTTAGTTTTGTCTGTGTTTACTTCTGGACTGACCCCCATACCAGCGTACATTAAAGTTTGCGTGTTTTTCTTTATGGTATCTATATTATCACCAAGTGGATTCACATCATCAGCATAGACCAACAGCTGATGTCTCCTATTTAATTTTAGTCCCACCCGGTTTTCCTGGACCTTTCTAATGGCATATTATAAAGCAAATTTGAAAAGCAATGGCAATAAAGCATCTCCTCAGAAAAGTTAAATCCATTAAACACGTTTAAATATAACGTGAATATGGGATAAAACTGAGGATAGTAATATTCTAGAATCCTAAATCACTAAATTGTATGCTAAGCACTCATTCACTGCACTGGAAGCCCAAAATAAAAATTGATGAATCAACACAAATTTTTCATGTGACAAGTAATTTCTTAGAAATTCAACAGAATTCAGTGTGAGTGCAGAGAACACTTAAATATACTGAAGATTTTATTTTGTTTGGTCCATGGAATTTTATTAAACAACAATCATCTATTCAAAATTATTATTTTGATTCTTAAAATCATTATCTGTCACACCAAACAGTTTGGTCTAGAAGTAATGTTCTAGGCTTGTAATTGGTAGGTATCAATTTGAATCTCAGTCAGGACACTGGCTATCCTGACAGCATTTCCACGGTTTTCCTGAGTCCCTCCAGGCAAATGCTATTTCGATTAGGCAACGTCCGCTTTGCTCCAAATCCTAATTCAACTTTCATCAGTTGTCGTATCACTCAGTGCTATATAATATCGACGTCGAAAACGTCGTTAAAAACCTATGGGGAGAAAAGGTCGCTTTAACCCACTGCAGCACTATTGATTAACGTTCAATACAGATATTTTAATCCAAAGATACATTTGGTACTCTCACATTGTGGCAACATCACTCGTTAAGAATGAATAGAGTTAACCTCCACTGTCCTATATGATGTTATTACACAATGCTTAAATAAGCATAAGGGCAATTCTCCCATCTTCAGCAGCAAACTTCTGCTTAAATTCACTACAGTCCAGTCCAAGAACATAATTAAAGCAGAAATTTTATTCATGCACATGTAACATAAAAACGTTTGGTTGAGATGTAACACCTCACAGATTCATTTTTCAGACTCACTAAATATAAGTATAGTATATACGTGAGTGGGTTTTATTGAACCACATATGTGTCCCTGGAGATGACTGTGTGTTTGGTGGCATGTCCCGGATATACTTCAGTTTTCTATGTTAACATGTTCTTGTGCTTTACTCCATCATTCACCCCAATACCTATTCAGCCTATCATGGAAATTACCTTAATGTCCTCTGTGAGGACAGTGAGGTCATTTTCTTTTCAAATGGTTTTCATCCCGATGAGGTCATTTGATTTTTAGAATGATCTACTTCTCCCAGCCTCACTATGGTCCTTGGGTCGACTTAGCAGCCTTTAACAGAAATGAGCACCAGGGAACTTTCGGGGGGTAAAGGGCGGCTGGCGCGTAAGGCTAACAACCTCACCGCCATCTGTGAGCCGATTGTCTAGAAAAATGTGGGAGTCTCGAAGTCTCACAACC